TGCTAAAAAACCACAAACTTTTTGCACGAATAATGCAACATGTCATTCTGAACACGTTGCGATAAGTCCTCAAAATATCTCATTGTGAATCCTGTGACTTTTACGAACCTGGTACATCAGCTCCTTTAGTGCAAAGACCAGCAGAACAACCGGAATTAGCGTATGTGGTACAGTCCGCACCAGTTACACAGGCTGATCCGGTTTCCCACATCGGTTCATTTGTATAATATCCACTGAAAAAGATTTCGTATCCTTCATGTAACGTGCCTGACAGTTACTCACATTCCATTGTAAAGGCAAGTGAAGGTCAATGCGTTTGTGGCACCAGTGCAAGTTTTGTAAGCGCAGCCAATCTTAGTTGTTTCAGGAAAAACCATCTGAATATATTTGGAAATATTAGCAACACGAACAAAGGCAAAAATGACCCTTACATTAGCAAAACTGTACAATTTACTGTTCGTATATTTGTTTTGCAAATCGGTGACTCCATACTGCTTTGCTGCACCCCACCAATTATTTAGTGTAGAGTTGATTTGTGCGGTTGGATTGGGAAATGAGCCTGTGCTAGTGTACCTAAAATGCAATTTTTTTTTGGCAGAAATCAACTTTTATTTTTGTTGGAGAGTAACATTGTGTTGTTATTATTTGTACGGTTACTGCCTTGTGATCTCTATGGATCTACTAATGTTATTCACCTTTGTGCGGAAATGAGTCTCATATAAAGCGTTCCTTCATAGATTATTTCTTTGTCACCGGCTTTATTCGTATCCAGCTGTTAATAAAGCTATTAATCATAATCGTCCTGGACCACCACGCTACAAGTGGAAGTACAAATACAAGTGAGAAGAAGGCAACAACACTTGCATCTGAAGAATGGCAGTGCTTACGTACGCTTTTCAAAGATTGCGTCTCAAACACAAAATATCCACAGGCTTACACATTTTTCGCTTCTAGAATAGAAAAGACCTTGCTGAAAAACATGCTCGAAAATTTGGGTGCAAGCAATTTACTTTGTGCTGGGATAATTGATTGAAACAAAGGCGACTCATTCTTTACCTCAAAAACAACTCAAAAAAGTGAAAAAAAACTCAACTCGCTGCAATTTGAGAATCCGTGCTACTAATCTGTAAAATTGTTTGCCCTAGTGTGATTGAAGCTAACCAATGAGGCGTGCCCGCATTCTGAGACTACATTTCATCAGTCCACCTTAAACAGTCAGTCGCTGCATGTTACTCAGTAGCGGGTGTCTCGTCCTCAAGCTCAAAGTGAGAGTCTGACTTCGGTATCGTTTTACACAATTTTTTCTCTTTTTCCTGCATGAACGTAAGGTATTTGCGCGAAAGATCTCACATAGAGAGAGTGTTTTGTGACATCAAGATAACTAATACCAATGTGGTAAGAGATGAATGAAG